GGGGGGCGGGCGAGGCCAGCTCATGGTCACACGCGTGTGGTTGCCTGTGGTGAGGAGCTGAGGGGAGTGGTCGATGCAGGGCAGTCCCACGCGGCTTCCCAGCACTGCAGAGGTGGGTGGGCTGGGACGGCTGGGTGCTCAGCAGGAGAGGCCCAGCTTTCCTGGCCTTTCTCCTTTTTCCTTTTTTAGAGATTTTTGCTATGGGGCGCGTGCACTCACCAGAGAGACAGAAAGTGAGAAAACAGCCTCCAGGGGAATAGCCTTGCTGTAATCCCTTCCCCTCCATTCTCCTCTCGGGATCTTGGATGCATAATCACACGTACCTGGGACGAGTTTCAAGCTGCTGAGTCCAGGACTTGAACTGCGGTCAGCCACGTGGGCATCCAGCAACACAGCCGTTATGCCATCTGCTGACCCCCCTCCTGGTCTTTCCTGACAGCACCCAGTCTGGGGGCTCAGAGGCCTCACTGCAGCCAGGGAGGGTGGAGTCCAGGCTCCCCCAGGTGTCTGCTGGAAGCACAAGGCAGGGCCACCTCGGCCTTGCACACCCAGGCCTGCTCCGGCCTCTGGCTTTGCTGTGCCGCTGGCTGCCCCTGTCCGTTGCGGCTGGAGGGAGCTGGCTTCGGTCGGTGCATCGTCTGCCGGTGCTTGTTGGCATTTCTAAGTTGTAGGCTGCCCTGGCTATACGTTTGGACATATGAGACAGAAGGAAAGCGGGGTGAGCCCCAGCATGCCTCCCAGGTCCTCGCCAGGACACTGGAGGGCCCCGCCAGCACCCTGGCTCGTGGGGCTGCGTTCGCCGTTCTCAGCGGGAGCAGCAGGGCCACCATGTCTGCTGCAGCCTCCCGGGCACGGAAGTCACCTCTGCTCTGGGTTTAGAGACGGGGCTTCTGTGTGCTCCCAGTGCTGGCTCCCGGTCACCACTGCAGCTGTGGTTTGTCTTTAAGACAAGAGTGACTGGCAGGGAGCTTGCAGGGCAGGACTAGAACCTGTGGGTGGAGCCGGCCACAGCCGCCTCTTCTTTTCCTGAAAGAAAGGCAGTGTTGAGAGTGCCCTAGCAGGGACGCTGGTGGCTTTGGGGACATCTAGCCTGCAGATGTAAGTCATGTGTGGGACTGGGCAGAGGGTAGCCGAGGAACATGGCAGTTGGGACTCTGAACATCAGCTCTGGGTAGAGGCCAGGGATCACGGCGGGCAGCCAGCCTGCAGTCTGTGCGGGGATCAGAAACCATGACCAGTCACTCTGGGCCCAGGACTTCCAGGGGTGGGGTCTTCAGATCCTGCCAAGGCTGGCAGATGCTCAAAGGCAGGAGACCCCAAAGTACCTGGAGGTCAGCCTGGCTGCCGGGCTGTGCCCAGGCTGCCCTCTGCCTCTGTCCTGCCTGGGGCCCTGGCCCACAACTCTTGGCCCTTCTCCCCGAAGAGTGCGAGGCACAAAGGCCAGGTGACCGCCTACCTGCACACCCGTTCCCCTCTGTTTGCTTCTTGTGTTTGACTCACACGAACGGAGAAGCTCCCCATCCCTTGGGGCCAATCCTGGGGTAAAAGCAAACTGGGAGTTACATGGTTTAGAGGCGCTCACCCTTTTGTGGCTGTGCTACAAAAAGCAGCAGATCTGGGAGCCACAGTCTTCCGCGTTCAGCTGTGCAGATCGTGCCTGAGTACTGGCTCTGTCCTGGGTCAGGCGTGTGGCAGGACGCCCTCCAGGACGTGAGGGCCACATACACACAGGCCAGTTGGGACTGTGCGGCCAGACTCCTGAGGGCGTCCTGGTGCTGCTCAGGTGTCTGTGACTTGAGTCGGCTGTTGGGGTCTCTTCGGGAAGGTGCCGGACGTGCCACCCTTGGGGCTCCTCCTTGGCTTTTCAGCATCGCTGAGCAGTGGCCAGAGGGTTTTACCATCTTGGTCCCCCAGCCAGGCAAGGGCAGGTCTGACTGGTTGGACCCCCCAGCCCCATGTAGCCCCACCCCCAAACCTGGACCCCAATCTGGCCTCCCCTGCCTTGTCCTTACTGGCAGGGGCCGGGAAACGAGGCCAGGTGTGTCTTGCCCACACCCTGCTCATCTCTGCTGCTTCCAGACGAATGACGCGGCTGGGAATACCTGGAACTGGCTCTACTTCATCCCCCTCATCATCATCGGCTCCTTCTTCATGCTCAACCTGGTGCTGGGCGTGCTCTCAGGGTAAGACTGGGAGTGGGGGTGCCCGTGCTGAACCTGGTGCTGGGCGTGCTCTCGGGGTAAGGTGAGGGTTGGGGAAGGGGAATGGCTGCCCAGTGTGTTCCTGGATCTGGAGAAAGGTGCCTCCCAACCCCCGCGAGTACTGGTGAGGTGTGGCAGCTGGTGCGGCCCGGTCTGACCCCAGGCGCACGGCACCCTCTGCCCTGATGGACTGAGAGGCAGGACAGTGTCCTGTGCTCAGGGGCGTAGGCGGGTGGGGTCCCCCCTTCTGGGCTGAGGAATCTGCTGAGCAGGAGGTGGTGTCAGGCCTGCCGGGCTCCATGCCTCCCCTTGGCCTCAGACCCCATAGGCTGGAGTAGGGCACCTCCATTCTGCCCGTCCTAAAGGCTTCTGCTCGGGCCCAAAGCTCCTGTGTGGGCTGGGATAGATCTTGCTGAACCCTGGCCTGGAGAGGAGGGCTGCAGGGAGGGTGGCCCGGGAGTGGGGCTGACCTGTGCCCTGCACTGGAGGGCTGTGATGGCACCACTGGATGCGCAGAGCTCCTAGCCAGGACGGGAGGCGAGGTCCGGCTGAGGAGGTCCTGGGCAGTGGCCTTCTGCGCAGGCCACGCAGGGGGACCGGCGGCATGGAGAACTGTTGGGGCCCTGCCTAGCAGTAGCTCTGGGACTCGGGGTGCCCCGATGCAGGGTGGGAGCCTGGGCAAGATCCCTCTTCTCGTTGCCCGGGTGGTGGCAGATCGGCCCCTGGCAGACCCTGGCTGGCACAAAAGCCAGACTCCTCCTGCTGTGGCCACATGCCGGCTGTCAGGTCTGCAAGGCCCCCTGGCAGGGCAGCTGCTCCCAAAGAGAAACAGCCCTGTGGTTGCCGCCGCCCGGCCGCAGGGGTGCGAGCACCTGTCTGACTGAGGACCTAGATCTTGCCTAGGCCTGAGCGAGCGGGCTGGTCCAGGTGCTGGGTGCCGGTGTGCATGTTTCATGTATGTGCACACATGTGAGCAGATGGTTTCCTGCCGGTGCTGCTGGCCTACTGTGGCCGGGAGGCTGAGGCCGAGTGGAGGGTGGGTTGGTCTCTACTGTGAGTCGAGGGCTGGGGTGGTTCTGGGCCGGCAGGGTGGAGGCCTGTCTTCTCTCCTGTTATCAGGAGCCTCGGGTTGGTAGGGGCTACAGGGTGCTGACACTCCGCCCCCTCTGGCCTGCCCAGTCCGGCCCCTTCTCTGCCCACCTGCAAGGGCCTGCGGCCTGAGTCTGAGTCAGCAGGGGAAACAGGGTAGACGCTCTCCTTTGGAGACATTTCCCAGAAGCTCTGCACAGGACAGCAGGTAGCAGGCCGAGCTTTCGGGGTGCCCTGGCCTGCTGAAACGAGGGTGTGGTATCGCCCCTGCTCTCTCTGTGCCCCTAGGAGACCATGGGGTGCCCTCAGTGGAGGGAGCGAGGGGAGCTTAGGGAGCAGTTGTGTGGGCACTCTGAGTACGCATGCGCAGGGCCCGGGCCCATCTCTGGTGCCTTCTGTCCCAGCCTGGGTTTGGTTCCCTTTGTCTGGGGGCACATTCCCTTGGGGCCATGGCTGGGCTGGCACTAACCTGACCAGCCTGTCTTTCTGGCCCCCTCCTGGCCCAGAGAGTTCGCCAAGGAGCGAGAGCGGGTGGAGAACCGCCGCGCCTTCCTGAAGCTCCGCAGGCAGCAGCAGATTGAGCGGGAGCTCAATGGGTACCTGGAGTGGATCTTCAAGGCCGGTGAGAGCCCGGGCAGTGCCAGCTCTCAGCATGGCCGCCCTCAGCTGGGTAGCGTTTGGCGAGGACCAGGAGCTGGGTGGTTGGAAGAGCTGGTGGCAAGGGCCTTCCTTGTCCACTCAACCAGGGCCCACGTGACCCCCAAGACAGCAGCCTTGAAAGCAGAGGCTTGGCCTGGCCCAGTGACAGCACCGCGCCCAGTGCTCAGGTTGAAACCCCTCTGCACACCGACACCGACTCTGGGCCCATCAGCCTGGACTTCATGACTCACCTCTCAGCTCAGTCCCAGGGACGGTCTCGCCAGTAGGCAGCTGCTCCCAGGGCGACGTGCGAGCAGGATGTGGGCCTGCTGGCTTCTGGGGTGTCAGAGCAGAGGAGGCCATGTCTGCAGACAGCGGGGTGCTTTCATCCAGGGCTTTCCCAAGGCCGTGCCCTGCCAGGGTGTACACAGGCAGGCTCTGACCCAAGGCTGTGTCCCCACAGAGGAAGTCATGCTGGCAGAGGAGGACAAGAACGCAGAGGAGAAGTCCCCTCTGGATGGTAGGTGCCCCTGGCTAGCACCCTTTGTCTGTCCCCACTCTGAGAGGCACGTGCGTGTTCTCATGTTAACGGATGGACTGGGGTCTGACCATCAGCCTGGAGTTCTGCTGGACTGTGGGTTTTAGCCAGACTGCTTGTCCCAGGGCTTGGGGCAACAGTGCTACCAAAAGCCAGGAGACAGGCTTGAGGCCACAGTCCCAGTGGCACAGGCCAGCAGCTGAAGGCCACCCTCACCCATGGCAGCAGCCACCCTGCACTGGCTGGCCCCATCCTGAGGCTTGGGGTGGGTCTGTACTAGCCTGCTGCAGCCCTGGCCCTGACCCAGGTGGGGTTTCCCTGGTCTCCCTGGTGGACGGGCCTCCCCACGGGAGGGAGCGGAAAGCAGGGGTCCACCCTCAAAACTCCTTGTTCTACCTGCTCTAAGACTGAGGGGGTTGAGGGGACCAGTCTGTGTCCTGCCTCCACCTTAGGCAGGAGCTCAGGGAAGGTCCCCAGCTGCAGGTGGGGTGACTCCCCAGCCCGAAGGTCGGCCTGCAGGCTCCTGCTCAGGCAGCCCCTGCCCTTTGCCTAAAGCAGTGTTGAAGAGAGCAGCCACCAAGAAGAGCCGGAACGACCTGATTCACGCAGAGGAGGGGGCAGACCGGCTCGCAGACCTCTGTGCCCTCGGTGAGTCTCCGGGATGGGAGACCGGGCCTGCCGTAGAGGATGGTGCATGGCCCTGTGAGCCGTTGCTGTGAGCCCAGGCGGCTGGCGAGGCTCTGGCCTTAGTTCCACTGGCGCCTTCAGGAGGGCGAGTGGACTGTGAAAGGCCCTGCTGTCTAGGCCCTGGGCTCCCCTAGGTGTGTTTAGAGCCATGAGCCGGTAAGGATTCCAGGGCCACGTGGAGCGGATGTGGTTTTGTGCATATATGCCTGTCAAAGCTGTGTGGTCACGTGTGTCACATGTGGTCTTTCTCACGATGGGTTGATGGGCTCTCACCAAGCAAAGCCCAGGAGCTGGGGAAAGGCCGTGGCCTCCCCGAAGAACTAGTGCCACACCCTCCCTGTCCCCCCAAGTGACTGTGCATGTGCTGGGCGTGCCACATGGCTGTAAGCACCAGGGGGCGTGTGCTGCCGTGTATGTACTGGGCGTGCTGCATGCCCGTAAGCACGGGGAGTGGGGCGTGTGCTGCTGTGTATGTGCTGGGCATGTCGCATGCCTGTAAGCACCAGGGGGCGTGTGCTGCCGTGCACATGCTGGGCGTGCTGCATGCCTGTAAGCACCAGGGGGCGTGTGCTGCCGTGTATGT